GAATCTCAGAAGAAACGCGATCGAGATGCCTGAGCTCATGGCAGCTGGCGTTCGCCAGCCAGACATTCTCGAGACCTGCTCAAACAGCTTTGGGCCTCCATCTGGCCAAGGGATCAGCAGGGGGAGGATTGCCCCGCCCCCCTCCCCCCCCAAGCCTTGGCCGTCGAGATCGCCAGAGCCAAGCCTTTGCAGCTGATGTGGTGGCCGAGTTCGTCTCGCTGGTTCTCGCAGCCAAAAAATCGCCCCTGGCCATCGAGGGGTGATCCAATGCAAGAACTGAGCCATCCACCCAGCCGAGATCTCAGCATGCCGTAAGCCCACGCGACGGGGGGCTTCTTCATTACTGCCTGAACATCCGACCGCGCAATAGCTCGGCGGCGCCCGAAACGCTCGGGAAGCCACTTGGCCCGATATTTCTACGGCCGCGTCGACGAACGGCGAGCAGCAGTAGAGCGAGCACGTGGCATTTCTGTGGGTCGTGGTCTTGAGCGCTGCCGAGTACGCACGCGTCTATTCGCCTTGTCCTGGCCGTCGGGAAGTCGATGGCGAAGTCCTTGGCGGCCGCTGCTTGAAGCGAGTCAGCAGATGTCGACGCGCCCAAGTGTTCAACTTAGGTGCAGGGCATCCGCGTGGCGGCGATAAATTGCCAGCGATAGCTGCCATCTGCGCAGCCGATGCGTCGCTCGACAACTGGACGGGGGGCGCACGACGCATTCGCGTGCTCGGGATGGGCGCGCTGCGTTGAACATGCGAGCTCGGCCCCCGCCGCGCATCTAAGACCGACTTTTCGGAGCGTCCCAACTGCCAAGACATGAGACGCGGATGCGTCTTAATGCCCTCCAAGGCTGGCGGAGAAACGTCGCCAGCGAGCGCGCGTCTTTCGCGAAGAACGCCTTCGGGGGGGTGCGGGAACTGCCCGGCGCGACTCGCCATCGGGGGCGCCCGAGCCATGCAACAGAGATCCCTGAGGGTAGGGGGGGCGGCCGAGGTAGCGAGCGCCGCCGCTCTTCCCCGCGCGCGCCGCCAACGGCCCGCGACGCGATCGGAAGAACGACGGGGCCGCGCCGAAGCCAAAGGCAACAGAAGTTGGGCCTCGACCCGAAACGGACTCCAATGCGCCGCAAATGCGCGGGCGACGCCGCGGAGCTCAGCCGCGACGCGGGCAGGGGGGGCGCGGGCGAGCGAGACGACCGCGGACGAGGGCGCGCGCGTTCGAGGTTCGCGAGCTCCTCTGCGGCCGCCATGACCCGAGCAGCATGCGAGAGCCGTCGCCGCAAGCGGGACGCCGCCGACGCCGTCGGCACATGCTCGAAAGGCGCCCCGAGACCAACGTCCGATCCCGCGCTTCAGGTCGCCCGAAAAGGGGGGGCTCTGCGAATGAGCTGCCATAATATGCGCGCCCTTGAATGGCGCTGCAGCTGATCTGGACTACTTCCGCAGACAGACCGCCCGCGCGCGCCCGCGCAAGCGGCCGACGCCGCGGACGACGAGGTGGCACGATTGATGATGGGGGTGGGCGCTGCTGTGAGAGTGGCAGAGATGACCTTCAGGTCCGCGTTCCACTGCCCGAGCGCCCGCGCGGCGCCCAGGGCCCAACGGCGCCGCGGTCGTCGCTGTCGGAGCCAAGGCATCCATGAATAAGGAAAGCTGGAATCGCGCCAGCAGGCGCTGCGAACAAACGCGAACTACCCATCAACGAGCGGCTCGCCAGCCATCGCACTTGAGCGCCGTGTTCGCCGGCCGCCCACGCCGTTCACGGTGGGCCGTCTACCCAGGGGGCCGATCTCGATGGAACCACTGTCGGCAGCGCCGGCCCCAGCGCGCTGCGCGGAGAGGCGGGGGGCCATTGAGGCAGAGCGGCGGCCGGATGAACTTCTCGAGGAAGGGGTCTGCGCTGGGCGGAGCGGGGGCCGTCTTCGAGAAGGCTGGCGCCCAGTATGAAATGAGAGCCTTCGCCTTCTCTGGTGCCAGAGAAAAACAACCGACGCATCGCCGATTTTGACTGCGCGAAGCGCGAGTCGTTTGGCTGAGGAAGCCCTGGTCTGAGCTTCTCTCTGCGTCGCCATGGCCGCCCCCGCCGACGTGCGATTGCGCGCGCGCCGCCCCCGCCGATTGCGCCCCCGCCATGGCCGCCCCCGCCCCGGCCGCCCCCGCCATGGCCACTCCTGTGCCCGGAGGATTTAGCGAACTGGACCTCCTCGGCGTCCGCTGCAGCTGCGGCGCGTCGAGCAGTTTCCTCGGCGCGCGCTGCTTTCCTGGCGACAGCGTCTACGCATTAATAAGCAACGCTGGGTGAGTTACGCGCCTCGATAGCACGCGCGGCGGCCTGCCTCGAGGTGGCCCTAGCCGCCCGCGAGCAACAACTCTTTTGGCTTCAAGCGGGCCCTCTTCGCATGAAAGTTCGAGATGTCGAACGCGGCTGCCTATAATCGAAAGATTGCATGGCCCGGGCAAGCTGCGGGGCGACAATAACCAGTGAAATCGAAATCGGCCATAGTGAGCGCGTCCAGATTGGCCTTGAGCTAGGGTCCATTGCAGATGGCCAGGGTGGGGGGGGGGGAGGGTAGCAGTGGCTTCATCGAGCCCTCGGTGCTGCTGAACGCGGCGGGCAGCCGCGTGATCGGAAGCCCCTTACTTCGAGGGCTGCTCGGGGGTTTCGGTGGCCGAAGTGGAATTGGGTAACTGGCGCGCCCTTCAGCTCGGTTTTCATGTCCGCATGCGATTCAGACGGGCCAGCGATGTGGCGTCGCTACAGTAGCGCGTGGGACCTGCGGGTGCGATCTCAAACGTTCGGCCGAGAGTTGATATCCGCATTTTGACCTGCGAGGACGATTCTGCCCAGATTCCACCAGAAAGGGGTGGTCGGTGCCAGCGACATTGGAAACGTCGCAACTCGCCGCCGATCTTGGGCCATGAGCACCTAGGAACCGTCGTAAATCTTATGCCCCCCCCCGCATGCTCAATCGATGCGCCTGGTCGCTCGACCGTGATTATTCGCATTGGAGTATGGAACTTCAGCCCCAGCACACTGAACTGCCGCCTCCAATGATCTGCCCGAAATGAACGTTGAAGCAGAGGTTTAAGAGAGTGGCCGAAGAAGGAAAAGGGCATTTCCTGATCTCCCCGGTAAAGCCGAACGCGCACGAGTCTGGATCCGCCAATTCGCGAAAACCGAAGGCTCGCTGGCGCCTCGATGAACATCTTGCAGCGCGAACGTTGCGTTCAGGGTGCCAGAGCTGTGAAGCTGCACTTCCTTCTGCATTGCCACCAATCCATCTCGCCGAAGGAGGGCGTGAACCTTCCCAGGGGCGAGGGATATCGAAGGCGGCAGGGGCGGTAGCCCGCCCTCCACTTCGTGCTTTCACGCGCCGTCGAAGCTGGCGGGGGGCCACTCGGGCGCCCCCCTTCTCTGCGCCATCCACGTTGTGCCAGAAGGGAGATTGCGCCAGAAACGCCTGGCGGGGTCGCCGCAAGGGCGGGGCCCCAGCCGATGAATATGGCTCGAGTTTTCCGTATTTCGACCAACCTGACTGTCGAAGAAAATGTCGCGCCCGGAGAAGTGCGCGCGCCAAATGTTGGCCATCTTCTTCGCCATCTCGATCGGGCGCGCGCTCTGGCCTGGGGCGGCGCGAGGTTGAGCGGGGCCGCCCGAGGCAGCAGGGGCAGGGAACCCAACCCATTGACCTCTGCCAGGGAGACGCAGAGCAGCAAGAACTCCATGTGCCTTTTGGCCAGCGACACCACGCGCATCCGCGAACTGAACGCCCGCAGCAAAGCCGCCAAAGATACCAACAGCCTCCAACCACGCCTCGGTTGAGAGGACGACGTCGGCTCGCGCGCCATGGTAGGCGCCGCCACCATGAGGACAGGGCCACTAACATCTCGATCGAACGAGGAAGGGGGAATAATCCAAACGTGGCGGAAAGGGGGCGCGGCTGGCCATCGCGAGCTCGTTGCGCATCGCATCCATGCAACGACGCATGTCGCCGATCTGCTTCGGCATGTCGGTCGGTTTGTCGTCCAACGAACCAACTTTTGCAGGAATCGTGTCGGTTCGGGACTTGGTGCGGCGCTCGACGAAATCGCTGCCAGGCCGGATCGATGTCCGACGTCCATCCTGCAATAATGCGGGCTTGTTGAAGGGTGGCTTCCAAAACTCTGATAATAACGGTGGCTGGCGAGAGGGCATTGTCCAAAAATGTCTGGGCGTGCCCTGCCTTAGTTAAGTTCACTCAGTTGGACCCTGGAACCTATGACCTTGGAGAAAAGCCTTTCAAGAATGAAACCAACGTTGTACATATCCCCTGATTTCGGGCCCGTGCCACCGCCGCTGTCCTCGGATGCGGACCGACCAGATCTTGACCCGTCATCATCCTGCCTTTGCCTGCCATATTGTAAAAGCACGACCAGGAAAGGGAACCCCAGGAGCACCAGAAACGCCATTGCTGGCGTTGGCTGCCTTCTGCTTGCGCTAAACGAAGGCAGCAAAAGCTGGACATGCCCCAATATACTTACCGCCCCGTCTGCCGTGGCGGGAGGTGCGTCTGGCCTCGCCAGGGGTTCACCAAAAACTGACGTGTGGCCACGGATCAGCGGTGTCCACTACGCCCCCAAGGAGGCGGGAACCTTGAGCCCAACTGGTTACGGCCAAGAGGGGGACGAGGTCCGAGGGCGACAGTCGCGAAACGAAGCCGCCCGCTGCATCCACGTGCCCAGGAGGAGGGCGAGAGGTGGGGAGGGCAAGTGAGGGAGGAGGGGGAGGAAGGAGGAGGAGGAGTAAGAAAAAGGACTGTCAAGGCTGTCGTTTAGGACGCGGGTGGCATATTACCACATGTTCGTGTCAGAACCACTGCGTTTTTCCAGTGGGTCTCTTGGTCCCTTGCCCCCTTTTTCACTTGTTTCACGAAGTGATGGGGCGTTGCGAAGGAGGGGAACAGCAGAAGGGGGGATGGGGTCGGGGCGGGGTCGGGTCGCTGGGCGTAACGAGGGCATCCGAAGGCCGCTGATCCACATCGTCGGCGTCTGCTGCACGGAGGGCCACAGGATGCCGGTCGACGAGCCCTCCGCGCGGACCGCCACGGCCCTGGGGGGGAGGGCGTCGTCGGGCAGCAGGCAGCGACAAGCAGCGGCATCTGCGCGCAGGCAGCAGGCAGCAACAGACAGCAGCACGCAGGCAGAAACAGGCACAAACAGCAGCGAGCATCAGCAAGCAGCAGCAAGCAGGCATCAGCTGCAACTCAACTGGCAACAAGCAGGTCCTACATGCTGGGGGGCGAGGAGGAGGAGGAGGAGGAGCAGGAGGAGGAGGAGGAGGAGGAGGTAGAGGAGGAGGGGGAGGAGGACAATGGGGGAGAAGCATGGATGAGTCGACGACGAGACCAAGGCCGCCTCGCTACATGCATTGGCAGCCCTCAGGCCTGATACGATACGCCTTCTGGCTAGTCCTGAACTGGAGGGCGCCCAGTTACACCGATCCTGGGCCCAGGATTGGACTGGCAACGGTCGGTGTCGGTGCATACCTGGCCTCACGTACCTCATCATCCTCCTGCTGCTGCTCATCCAAACCCAATCACACACTCGGCGATCTCCTGACCAGATCGTATCTCCAAGCGCACCAACTGCACGACCAGAACTTTATGCCGTTACCATACCTCATTCAAGCAGAAGCCTGTGTATGGCTTACTTGCCCACTCTCCCTCTCTCTCTCTCGCCCTGACGCTCTCTCGATCCAGCAGGGTTGCAAGGACGAGGCCAAGTGCCACAGCATCTGCATGATGCCCCTCGCGAGTCTCCGCACAGCGCCACAGGGCCCGCACTCGCACTCTCTCTCTCTCTCTCGCCCTGGCGCTCTCTCGATCCCGCAGGCTTGCAAGGACGAGCCAAGTGCCACCAGCATCAGCATGATGCCCCTCGCCAATCTCCACACAGCGCCACAGGCCCCGCACTCGCACTCTCTCTCTTTCTCGCCCTGATGCTCCTTCGATCCCGCAGAGTTCCAAGGCCGAGCCAAGTGCTGCCAGCATCTGCATGATGCCATTCACCATTCTCCGCACAGCGCCACAGGCCCCGCACTCGCGTACTCTCTCTCTTTCTCTCTCTCTCTCGCTCGCCTTCACGCACTCTGAACTCTGCAGCGTTTCCAGGACGAGCCAAGTGCCACCGGCGTCTCCATGATGCCCCTAACCAGTCTCCGCACCGCGCCACAGGCCCCGCACTCGCGCGCGCTCTCTTTCTCTCTCTCTCTCTCTCTCTCTCTTTTTGTTTCTCTCTCTCTCTCTCTCTCATAAAAGAAGAGGGGAAGGAGGAGGGGGAGGAGGACGACGAAAAGGAGAAGGAGGAGGAGGAGGAGGAGGAGCAGGAGGACAACGCCGAAGAAGAGGAGGAGGAGGAGGAGGAGGGGGAGGAGGAGGAGGAGAGAGGAGGAGGGAGGAGGAGGAGGTGGAGGAGGAGGAGGCTGGAGGAGGAGGAGGAGGAGAGGAGGAGGAGGAGGAGGAGGAGGAGGAGGAGGAGGAGGAGGAGGAGGAGGAGGAGGAGGAGGAGGAGGCGGAGGAGGAGAGGAGGGAGGAGGGGGGGGAAGGGGGAGGAGGATGAGGAGGAGGAGGACGAGGAGAGGAGGGAGGAGGAGGAGGAGGAGGAGGAGGTGGAGTAGGAGGAGGAGAGGGAGGAAGGGGAGGAGCGCACTCGCCACATCTTTCGGAGCCCCGTGCTCTCCCAAGAGAGGGCAAGGCGCGAGCCCCGCGCCTCTCCCACATCGCGGTGGCGGCCTGCTCCTCGCCAGCGCCCAGGAGCGTGCCTATTGAAGGCCTCCTAGATGCGGTCGGAGCAGATCGGGTCGGAGGATCGCGCCGCCTTGCCGATATACATCGGCGATACACCGCAGATGCACAGGCAATGCATCGGCGACATCGACGATGCATCGGCGACGCCAGTGTGGAGAACATCGGGCTCCACATCGAGCCACATCGCCGATGGATCGACGAAGCGGCGCGATCCTCCGACCCCACCTACTCGGACCCCATCTAGGAGGCCTAGACCTATGGCTATCTTGTACCACCTCTGCACGCAGCGGGTCTCCGCGTCGGACTTCGTGCGGAGATCCTCCACGCACGCCGGGGTCCTCGTCGGGAGTCCCGCCTCCCCTGGCCCCCATCCGCCCTTCGAGAGAGGGCAGGGGTGGGGAGGGAGACGGGGGAGCGGGGAGGAAGAGGGAGGGATGTGGCCGCGAAGGGCGGAGAGGGGGCGGGATGGCGAGGGCAGGGGGAGTGTGGACGGGGGGGGGGGAGAGGGGATTGACAGCGGCCGCGGGAAGGCGAAGAAGAGGGGACGGGATGGCGAGGGCAGGGGGAGTGGAGGGGGGGGGAAGGCGGGGGCCCGATCTTGGTCGGGAGGGTGGGGCGCCATCGCCACGGCTGACGGGAAGGGCCCGCTGCGAAAGCGGAAGGCGGCAACGGGGGCCAGAAGGGAGGGCGGCAAAGGGTGAGGAGGAGTTGGAGGGTGCGG